GTATGTGTATATATATATATATATATGTGTGTGTGTGTGTGTGTGTATTCTTGTGTATTCTTGTGCGTGTGTGTGTTTGTGTGTGTGCTATTATATTTATATGTGATTGGGGTGTGTGATCCACGCATAGGTTCGATCTTTCTATAGAGTGAGACGTGCACGTCTACGTGGTTTTGTGTACGTATTCTTTTGCGTGTTTGGAGCATTCTGTAACGGCGTCCACGGTTGATATTATCTTCGATCGAATAGTTATCGAATAGTTATCGTATTCGACTTTTAATCGAGTATTTTCAAGCGTGTAATTTTATTTGTTCTCTAACCTCAATATTAGTATTCGCGCGAGTATCTAAACCATTTTTGCCCATTTGTAGGTCGAATTTGATGATCATAAGGAAATAACTATCGGGCTATAATTGTCCAGAGGCTTGAAAAGGCGTAAGCATGCTCTCAACTAGCTCTGTGTGTATTTCAAATATCCACTTTTTGTTGTAAATATTCGTGACGGGATTTCTTCCCCAGAAAGTGTTTATAATCGATGTAGTTGCGGCGCCTGGATGAATGTGTGTATGAGATTAACCACTGTGAAATGCCTATGGATAATTATGGGGGTTTTGGGCTCAACGTGGGTATGTGCGTTCAGCGTTTCTACGCATTTGCGTACGTATATGCATGTCGTATCCCCAGTTGGACACAGTGCACATCAAATCTAAGACAATCCGGTCATCCACACAGTAGTTTATGGCAGCCTCCCGAAACTCTGCTAGCCGTGCGCATGACAGAATTTAAAATAACATCTTTTTTTTTGGCTCGCGTCACCAGGAGTACGACCTCTGCAATGCCTTTCTACAAATATTTAGCCAAAACGAGGCTGTCGGGTGGGCTAATCCGGCCCTGGGATTGGTGAGTGTTAGTGTGCTCGTTTGGCCATGCACTTCTGTGTGTCTGAGCCTGGGCTTCAATGTGTTCATGTATTGTAATTTGCCCCCAAGTTAGCACTTTTTACCCATTGTGACTTTTCCTTGTTCCAATTCTTTATCTATACTATCAATTTGGTGTCGGAGCTGGTACCTGCCCTCTATGTGCTTGATGTGGTCGTTATTTAAATTGAACGATTGACTGTATTAGATGCACGCCATTTTTTTTAACTCTTGGAAAGTTTTTTCATTAAGTAACATCATTTCCCGGTGTATACCAGGTTTTGAAAGACTTGCGTGTTCTCGCAGACCAAGCAGACATGGGAACCTCTGGAAAAAACGAGTATAAGGAGAAGTCTGGTAGGCTAATGATGAAGCTGCTTGCACCGGCTTGTATGGATAAAGACGAATCAGAGAATTCGCGGCGTTGGGCATCATTGTCTGTTGCCAACAATCTATTCAAGCTGTTCTCCAAGCTCAATCTGAGCATGTGCGACCAAACACGGGCGACGATATATAATAACTTTAACGATGCTTATATAAATGAAAGGTTTCCTATATCGCACGTAACGACCTTCCGATATCTTGTGGTATGTAACGCAGCCCTATGTACTCGTATTCTTGCCCTGCGCTCTTGTGTTGGCTATTAAGATGGTTTATTACGAATTGAATGTTGTTTAGTATATAGTACGGCAAACAATCTCTATTGAGATGAGCTATAAGAATATGATTGCGGACGATGATAGCAATTTCTCGAGTGTTTGGTGGGCGCGAGCTGCTGCGTTGCGTTCTAACTCCTTGCTCATCTGGATGAGACGGTTTTCATTCGCTAGCAAATTTCTTGTACGCAATCATATTCAAATATGCTCGTATTGTTTGTCGATACTCCTAACAGGGCTACCAACATTTCTTCAAAGGCAACTATGATGAGGCCCGCATCCAGTTTGGATATGCATTCGATTTCTGCTCTCGACAGTTCCCGAAAAATATACAACTTATACTTCTGTATTTGATTCCCTTGAATCTGCTAAAGGTAATTATCTCATTTTTTGCATGGCAGAGAATCAATGTGAAAGTTTGACCTCTAGACCGGAAATTTATGCACGCTTGATTGTATATTCAACGCCAGACACCTACTCAGGAGAAGCTTGCAGGGAAACCGAATACACTTTGCCTACCGTGGGTGCCCCACGCGGACTCTTGTGCTTTAGTCTCTGCAGGAGCTGACTTTTGTTTGCGCATCTAAAACATTATCATATGGTATGCGGTATGTTGAAGTCCCATCAGATCAGTCGCTTGATCCAAATGAAATCTGGGAGCTTATGTCATCTGACTTCATTGAATACCATTTACAGGGCATAACACCTACAGAAGGTCTACTGAAGCTCTACAAGTTGGATCAATACAAAAGTATTGTTCATGCATTGAAAGCAGGCGATGTCAGGGCGTTTAACATGGCGCTCAAGGATCAAGAATCCTTTTTAGAAAAAAGGGGCTTGTTCTTATTGATGGAGAGGCTCAAGACCGTCGCGTACCGCAACCTTCTCCGAAAAGTGTAGGTAAACTATTTCTTGGTTGCTCCGAGCGGAAGTCCATTGTGCAATTTAACCCTCGTACTAACCTTCTCATCTCACGCTCTTTTGAAATTAGCATAAGTGTTGATAAGCAATTTTTATTCGTGATCGATCAGGTGGTTGATTAAGCTCAAGGAGTGTCAGCTGGCAGGTACCCCTTTCAACGGCCGGATCAGGCTGGAAGATTTCAGAGTTGCCCTTCAATTCGTACATTATAAGTGTTCCCTTGAAGAAGTGGAATGTATCGTAGCTGTTCTTGTTTTCAAGGTGTGTTACTACTTACTTACCATATTTACTGTCAAGATGGTATAATGGCAAGCTAGTATACCTTCATTGTCTTTTGCGAGTATAACTTTTTTTTGGGGGGGGTATATCCTCTCAACACAACTCGACCATCATTCTCGATTTTGCAGAAATTTGTGAAGGGTTACATATCCCACGGTCACAAATTGCTGGTCGTCAGTAGGAAAGCAGAAGATGTTACATTTCCTCCGATCAACGATTGCGACTCCTAGTATGGGTACGAATCGCCATTGTGCAGTTTAGGATAGAGGGCAAAGCGACAAGGCTGACAACGAGAACAACGCTTGGACAAACGGGATACGTTCGTCGTTCGGAGAACATCGCAATCGCTTGCATATGGTAGCTACCTATGCTTTATTTATTCAATGTTTTTGAGTTGGGAGCAAATTCGCGATGTGAAAGCAGATAAGTCAGATGAGAGGTTTTGACGTGTAGTTGTAATAGAATGGAAGCTTTTATCGATTTTCTGATGTTTTTCACCGACGATTTCGACGCTTCTGATATGCATAGGTTTTGTCAGGGTGACTGGGCAGCATTGTTGGACATTTTTCAGCTTATACTCTAAATATATGTGAGTTTGCTAAGGTTTAGCATATGTGGTAAAATGCAACTAGTCATTATCGCTGTTACAATACGCTGCAATGAGGGCGGAGTACTATACAGAGCCTACTGTGATAATATTCAAACAGCTACTCTAACAGATATGTGATTTTGGTAGTACCTTATCACACATATCACACACGAGCATTCCTGGAAATATCGTTGTGCTCGAACTGGGCACACACTGAAAACCGCAAGCCTTTGAAAATGGTGAAATTGCACTGTATCCGAATTTAAACCCTCATATATATTTTATTATGTGAGGCATCGGCATGATATATACAATATGCATTTGTAAGCTGATTTCGCGGTTGAACCTTGCACTCAGTGTATCGTCAGAAAGTGGGTGTTAGGGAATTTCGTAAGGTGTGCGCCAGTTCATGTTGTTACAAGTAATGCGCAACAACCCGGACAGATATCAAAGGAGGGTGCAAGTCACAATTCTAGATCCGTAGTTGTTAGGTGACGAATCCCGAGCCAGCAGCTTCATTGCATCCAAAAGTCTCTGTGACCCCGACATGAAACCGTTAACAGCCCAATCCGAGCCCCTTGTCTTGTCTAGGTCGGATTTTTGTTGTCGAATGTAAGGCCGCTGTATCGGACGGGCTTCGGACGAAAGATACATGTTTATTAATAAAAGTAAAGCTTAAGACAAGAGTCATTCCAATCCCCAGCCTCCGTAAGATATATTACACATGCTTTGTTCTTGTTCGTACCCATTACTTGCAAATTAGTTGATGCACTACGGTTAACAATTATAGATTGCCGTATAAAATGATATACGTTGCATATCCTACCTGACCCGCTGCAAGCTCTATATTAAATATTGAAAACTCAAGCGTACAGCACAGAAACTTGCCGTCGCACTCGGATATATCGTGTCCGATACATATAACTATTTATTAATGTAATTTGGGACAGCTAGAATACTTGATCTGGATATTAATGGATTCGGACAAACTCGACAATATCAATTCACATAAAAATAGACATCAGCATGCAAATTCACATTAAACCCTCTTTTTTAGCACCGCATACATAAACTAAAATTCGAAATCCACATAGTCACAGGAAACAGACAGCCATTCCAAAAGCAAAATACAAGCGTTGTAAGTTTTGGCCAAATACCGATGCCTATCGGACAAATAAAGTTTTCTGTAGCCCGACAGTAAAGCCACGTACACACGGAGCATTCGGAAAGAAATTTAATAGGAGTCAAAAACAGTTACTTCGACCAAAAAGTAATGAATTTGACTTTAACAAATAAAGCAACGAGTTGACTTTAGAAAGAGAGCACATCGACTCAATCGATGCGGTCTCATATTCAACCAATGCTTTACTGGATCCATAAAAATGTATATAGAACGTAATTTATTCTTGACATATTCCGTTTCAACATAGGGGTAACAAAGTAATTCACAGATTGCAGCAAATCAAAGAAAAAGCAAAACTCTAGTGCTGGGGTCTCATGTAAGCGCATGTTGCGTCTATACTTGTCGGTTGCTAGAGCTACCTATTGCCAACTCTGGTATCTGGTGAATTGGTCGCATAGCTCGTTTGACTTCGTCTAGCGTAGTTAACTTGCCCTTCGTGATGGAGCTCTTCGATGCCTCCGGTACGGAAGGAAACCGTCCATAGGGTTGCTTGCTTGTTCCCTCATGAGTTCGATTCTTACTGCCATCGAACATGGTGGCAAGTTGTATTCAGAGACGTATTTCCACCTTCGGGATATTCCGCAAATATAGTTCCAGTTGACTAGATGCATACATTGTTAGAGCCGACCTTTTCCCTAGCACCTTCCCGTTCTTTGTTTCTTATCTCTTCTTTGCTAAGTCCCCGTAATTTTCATCAGAGCTTGAGGTATCCTGAGCCGCAAGTGTGAAAGAAAATTCATTATTGGAAGCGTCCAGCTTAGCCTCTTGTGCATTACTCTTGGTAGATGCAGGTCCTGTGCTCGGTGAAGGTACCGCTGACTGGTTAGTAGCTGTTGCGTCTCTGGTAGCATTCGTATTGTTTATTAAACAAAAAAAGTGTAACTTTTGTGCAAAAGCTTGATAGATAAGTCGCAATGGAACGGGTGATCTGTACAGACTCAAGTCGCGTGGTAGTATACTCACAGGTTTTAGCCGGACCAGAATAGCCCCCCACCTGGTCAACCTCCTATTTCCGAGCCTAAGGGGCCGTCTAGATCTTCACCCAAACTCTGACTACTCTTACCCAAACTAAACCCCTGGCTTTATGAGGTATAGATATATAAAAACAAAACCGCTCAAAATACCTGAATACTCGGTTGAATTTAGAAGGTCCTAGACATCATCGACACATGGGGTAAAGATTCCGGCCTGGTATAAGGAACTGTCAAGCCTCGCAAGTCGTCTTCCAGTCTCACCCACACAGCACTGCCTATTCGTATCAATTGCAAGCTGATCGGTCCCACCCTCCCCGGTTTCCCAAGGGCACAGTCTCTCGATAGGCGCTGACCGGTTCCCCCGATCTGCATGGCAGAGAATAGTACTAATTTGGTGTCCAGAACCTCCAAATGTATCGGTTTCTATACGAGCACCATGGATTAACGGAAGTTTACTTCGCAAAGTATATGGATCATCTTGTTACCGCACTGCTTCAAGCAGTTCATTTGTTTCGCGCCTATGAATTCTAGATTTCTAGCTGGCGTCGCCCCCGTAACCACCTGGCAATCTTTAAGTCGTATATTCTCTCAACGACCACATATGGCCTCAACATCATCTCGTGAACTATTCAATCTGGGGTTCGGCACTCAAACCACTATTTCTTTGTCCCTTTCCTTATTGAGTTTTTACTATAAAAAATGCAGAAAATCAGGCCTGGCGAACACATTGCATTGACCTATTGAGACCTGTAAACTTGTCATAGGTGCGAGAGTGAGTCTATTATCGTAATGTGCTATCACATGTATATAGAATATACTGGTTGAAACGGGTTCATCCCGTTCGATAGTGTGGGTAGATAGGTAACAAAGGAAGAAGAACCTTGTTTTGGTTTAACGCACAAGGAGACGGTTTACTTTCTCCTGAAACAAGGTTTATTTGTACTTGTTATTGTTTATCAGGCAGAAATCTAATTTGAAAATTGACAGTGATTTGAAAATTGACAGTGCTATGACAACCACGTTTGCTCAAATACTACTGAACGCCAGTGATATCATAGTAGGCTTCGGAGTATGAGTTGTATACAATATTTATTTATATAAATAAGGATATTAATATCCTAAATAGCATTATCTGGACGTGAAGATTTTTGCTTAAGTTTTAATAAAAAACACTACTCCCAATCATTACAAAATAATTTATATATAGATCCTACCTTTAAAGCGATTGAAACAATTTCCTCTTTAAGATACTGTACGAGATGACTCACAGTATAAAGGTTTTGAGGTTTATAAATGCTGCACTAATACAAGATGAACTCGATGGTTTTGATGAGCTGATTATTGAAACCTAAGACCTTAATAAAACCATCACAATTATCAATTATTCACCAGCCTCGAAGTTCGGGCCGATCCTCTGTTCAAAGCTTAATGGTGCTCTTAGTCACTCTTCACACACATTAGTGTGCCAACAGAAGAGCGCATCATCACTACTCATACCCATCGCAGCTCAACGAATACCCATATTGAAGGATCACCCTTATAATATCGCTGAACCAGATGGTATATGTTACGGGGAGGAAAAATTATCTACATATCCTATATCGTTTCGCCAATCATTCGTATGCATATACGAGCCTTAACAGTCAAGCTTTTACGCATATGCGAGTCTTCAGTTAAGCTTCCGCGGTAGGGTCATGTACAAATATTGTATCTCTATGACTTAATAACTGCTGGCTGGCAAATATATTCTTAATTTTTATCCACGCTGGTTGGCAATATATTCTTAATTTTTATCCTCGCCACATTGATATACATACTCAAACCACAACAGGCATACACATATGACCCGTACCGACGATGAAGCACAAACACACATGAACTATACGTTAATTACTACGGGCAGGTATATGCCACAAACATATAATTTGCGAGTACAGGTGTTAGAGAAGACTATCTTGTGTATTTTTACCATCCCGAAGACCACCACATCAACCTAGACGAGCACGTGCCCATATTTTTCTTTAGTTCACATTTTTCTTAAGTGAAGGGCATGTGGCAGATATTTAAGAGATTTTTATATAATTACATCGTTTAAGCGCTGGACCAAAGTGTCGTGGGACAGGATTAGTTGGTTCTAGAGATTAAACCAGCACCTGCGGTCAAAGGAGGCACTACATAAAGGAATATGTTGACCGTCTTAAAAGGTCTCTATTTTTGTGCTTTTGTTGATTTTTAAGTCTTATTTCGTTGATTTGTATTTTTTCTTTCTTTCGTTTTGTTGATTGGTAAATTTAGCCTTGCACAAGGAGTATGCAACATAAACTACGGTGGAAGACAAACAGCTAACTGCTTTTAGATACTTGACCTAACAAAATGCAGCAAACGTATTTGGCATGAATATTTCCATACTCAGGAAAAATCGTGCGTTTCCTGTTGCTTGCTGATCGCGCGTCAGTGACTTTGTCTGTCTGTGTTAGCGTCGGAAGTGTTGTCTGTAAAGCGTAAGAACATCGGCGTTCGCTATGTCCTTGTGCGTCTAAATTTTCTTCTCCATCTACCCACGGTAGTAGGTATTCTCGTAATGCGTCGCCTGTCGTCGCTGGGAGATGTCCAGAAGGAGGTAGAGTCTGTCTCTTCTGTGAATGGAACTTGGCCATTAAAAGTGTACTCCTCACCCTCATTTGCTGTTTTATGTAATTTCAGGTATTCTGGGGCTTTAGTGCCATCCAGGTTCTGACGAAGTATCCAGCACCTCTTTTTTTTCAAAGCTGTGTATGAGCCTCCGTAGGGAGCCGTCATTTTATTCATTTCACCTTGGATATCGGATTGCTTCCTTGAAATTTGGCGATTATATGCTTGTAGTCTTGCTGAGGTCTAATGACCTCTTATAGCTTATAGGGTTATTGTCAAGCCACAACTGTGCTTGAAAAACTCTAAAAGCCGTCTGTGTTATGGTTCCGCTTCCGAATTATAGTCAGTGAGTTGATCTTCGATCAAAGTATGCAGTAAATCGGGGAGATTTGTGTTTGCGTCAAAATCGCAAGTTTTGCCCCATCTGTATACACGGTAGTCGTGAACGCTGGTTGCCTGGGTTTTGTTTTACAATTTTGTAGCAGGGGTATCAAGTCTCTGTGTGAACATTAATTCGCACCTCATACTCTGGGTTGGTGTGATCGAGATATAAAGCGTTGTGTTATAACCTGTGGAAATACGCGTTTACATATGACTGTTACCGACGTTTTAGTCACTATAGCTGCTGATTTGTCCATCGTTGGTCTGAACCTGATATATGATGAGTGTACGTCAAGTCATACTAAGACGTATGTGCTTCCCCTGTTGGAGTCAAAATAGTGAACCAATGGTGTCTACTTGTATCTTGTTTCTTGGAAAGTCTATTGATATTGATTGCAATGTGTGGAAACCTTTTTCATGTGTCTTCTTTTCCAACCATGGTACCACCCCATCTGAGTAACTTCGTATATGTGCCTGTATCTGGATACATTCGTGGCCGTTAGCCTCTATTGTTTCTTCTCTGGTG